CGTTGCTTTTAAAGCAAGCTTAATAAACGAAAATTAGCGAGCTTTTTTTGATACGTATTTGTTTAATTAATAAACGGCAATTAAAAAAAGTAATTTCGGTTATTGCCCGGTTTATAAAATAATTATAATTGCCGTAGCAAAAATATCGAAACGCAATAACTTTTAAAAAAATAAACGGTTGCACCGAAACGAATTACAACGAATTTCGAAATTTTGGCGAAAGTTTAATACGTACCCGTATAAAAAAAATTTAAACAATTTGCTTTCGGGAAAATTAACGAGCTATTAAAAAAAGGAATTTAAAAAAAAATTCCGAAAAATTTGTTTGGTAGCAAGGCTATCGATATTGCCTGGGTATTTATTTACAAATTTAACGAAAACGGCTACGTTACGAATTATAAATCCCGCGCGGTAATTAAAAATAATTAATAGCCTAACGGTTTAAAAAAGACTTACGCTATTACGTTTGCAATTAAAAGCTTTAAAATTATAATGGCAATTATGGCTTATTTCGATTTTAAAGCGCATTAAATCGATATTAGCAAAGCTTTTTTTTACGCAAAAATTGGCGATAACCATATACCCGTTTACGTAAAATTCCTTTTTGGGTATTACCGAAAAAAGTTTGTAGCCCGGTTTAAAAAAGCTTTGTACGGGCTACGGAACTTACCGAAATTGTAATACTTAGCCTTCGAAAAAACCTTTAAAAAGCTAAGGCTTACCCCGTTAACGGAAAAGCCCTATTTATTTATAAGCACAAAATGTAAGGTTTTCCTTTTCCTGTACGTTAACGATATAATCATTTTTAACCGTGCTACGCATTTAAAAATGGTAACGAAAGTATTAAACGGTTTTAAAAAAAAATACAAAATAAAAAAAGGACCATTTAAAATTTTCCTTAAGGTTTAAATCGTAAAGGACAAAAAGGTACAAATAATAACCTTGCATTACGACTTTTATATCGACAAAATCGTTAATACCTTTAATTTTGGGAATAAAAGCGTAAAGCGCTCTTTTTTGCTTAGCCAAACGCTTAAAAAAAATTTGGGGGTAGCGATACCCGTTAAAATCCTGGCTATGCAAAAAAAAGTTGGGTTTATACTTTACACGGCCATTACCATCCGCCCAAACGTCGCTTTTGCGAGCGCAAAACTTTTTAAATACCTTACAAATCCAAGTAAAAAGCATTTGGAAGCGGCAAATTATACCCTTTTATATTTAAAAGGGTTAAAATTTTATTGCATCCGGCTAAAGAACGTTCCAAAGTCCGACCATTTGCTCCTTGCTTTAAACGCTTTTTTTGCCAACAACAAAAAAACGAAAAGGTTGTTTAAAGGATACGTTATATTTTTATTTAAAGGGCCCGTAGCGTAAAAAGCAAGGAAATAAGCTACCGTTACAACGTTTACCATAAAAACAAAGCTTTTAGCGTTTATAAAATTTGGAAAAAAAATTATTGCTATGCAAAGGCTTTTCCGAAACCTGCGCTTGGAAATTAATACTTTTTGGAAGCTTTGCTATAACAACATACAAACGATCCGATTGGTAATCGAAAAGGGCACCCGCATTAATATGGCTTTAAAGCATATGGATATTATAAATATGTGGTTACGCCAAAAGTACCAAAAAAAACGTTTAACGTAATATATTTTAAAACCGCCCTTATGCCAGCAAACGGGCTTACCAAAAACTTCCCGCTTTACAAATTTAAAACATTTAAAGTTGCTTTAAAGTTATACAATTCCTTTAAAAACGGGTTAGCAAATTTAATACGCAGCCAAAAACTTTGGAATAAATATTAAAAGCGTATAACGTTTGCATAAAAGCATAACGCAAATTCCTTTTTTATTAATAAGCATAAAGCATGCCGGTTTTAAATAACAAAACGGTATTTAATTATAACGCGTGCAGCTTTTAAAAACGCTGTACTTTTTTTTTGTTCATTTTTCCTTTCCATTTTAGCCTTAACCCTTACTTATTATTTGGTAAATAAAGGCATTTTTATAAAAAAATAACCCCGAATTATTGCGGTTTTAATGCCATTTCCTTAACTTTTTTCGTTATTATTACCATTTTCTTTTTTTTTGGGGTTGGGCTACAAAAAGCAAAATTACCTCGACGGGAAGCTTTTTTATTCCTTTTTTTAACTTTATCCTTTTGTTTGCTGCCCGGTTTTGGGTAAGGCTCGAAAAAATGGCTTACCATTCTTTTAAGCTTTTTAATTTTAAAACGAAAGCTACCCAAAAGCTTTTTTTAAAATAAAGCAATTGCAATGCGCAGCTAAAGCAAAAAAAGGAAAGGGTTGCAACGGTGGTTGCTTTAAACATATTAAATATACCGTAAAGTACGACCATCCCGAAAGGAATGCGCTATAAGCTTATTGCTACAAAAGCCCCAAAATTTTGTTAAAAAGCTTTTGGTGCATTTATTGCATGGAACCGCGCGGGGAATAATATTATCGGAAAAGCCAGTTAGGACGTTCCCGTTAAAGGAAAATCGACGGTTTTGCTGGAAAAAAAGGCCAAATAGCATTTTTTTTAAAAATTAAAACGGAAAGGAAAGGGGTAATTAGCATAAAACCCGCGAAAACGGTTGGGAACAAATTAACTTAATTATTTACCTTTATTTTTTTACTCGCTTTGCGCTTCCGGGTATCGGGTAAAACGACGGGTTTATTATTATTATCGTTATTTTTTTAAACGAACCGATTAATAAATTTATCGGAATTAAAATCGACCTTAATCGTTTAACGAATAAGCTAATTGGGCCCGAAGCTTTTATTTGGTTTAGCCGGAGCTTAAAAAGTACCGGTCGGGTCGGGTTAAAAATTAGGACGAAAGGTGCAAAAAATAGCAAAAATAACCGGAAATTCGAAAACGGTTACGGTAATATTAATCGAGGTCCAGGTTAAAAAACGGCGCAAAATTTTTATCCGTTTAACGTAACGAGCCCGATTAATTTTAACCCGTTTAGCGCTTTCGGCAAACGCACGCGCTTTTATCGTTTTAATCGTTTAAGCGTTATTCCAGGCTTTTTTCGCGGGCAACCTGCTGTTTTTGCGCGTTTTTTATATCCCGCTGCTTATCCTTTTCCGCAAAAAACCTATTTTTTTTTTGCTTGTTTTTTTTAATTTATTGGGCTTTTTTTTTTTTTTTAAATAATGCTTTTTCCGTTTGCTTAGCTTTAATTGCTAAAATAGCTATAACCGTTTGCAAATCCGCATTATACGCGTACAAAACGAAATTAGCAAAAAAGCGATAGGTTGGTAAAAAAGCAAAAAATTACAATTTATTTTTTTTGGGTTTAAACCCGGTTAAGCTTTTCGCGTTTAACGCGCTTTCGAACGGTTGTACGCATCGTTTTGTTACCGGCAATACCCATTTTCCAACCAATTTGTTAATACCGTACAACGCTTTTAAAATATTACGCCGCCGCGTAAAGCACTTACAATTGCTTACTTTTGCTTTTGCAAGGATTTTTGTATTAGCAAAGGCTTAAACGATAGGGACGAAAGCGTAAAAACTTACGAATTGGTAAAAAAATAATAATAAAAAGGAAAAAAAAAAAGGCCGGAACGAAATGGGAAAAAAAAAGGTTTTAATTGCTACGCCCACTTTTTCCCGGTAATAGCTAAAGCATTTGTTTCGTTGCTTTTGGCAGCGAAAAACGCTTGCTTTATTACTTTTTAAAGCTAATGCGCTTTTACGGTTACCCTTTAAAAGCGAAAAACGCTTGTTTCGTTACTTTTCGAAGCTAATGCGCTTTTACAATTAATTTTTAAAAGCGCGGTAAGCTTTTAAATTTTACGCTATTAACATAGCAACCAATTTCCTTTTATTTTATTTACAAATAACCCAAAAGGCTTGCTTAGGGGGTGTATTACAAAGTAAATAGTATATATTGTTATAAAAAAGCTTTAAGCATAAATATTAAATGCTTAAGGCATTGGAAAAGCGGTCCCTTTATTTGGAAGCGTATAACGCTTCCAAGCGTTAAAAGGGAAGCTTAGTAAGCAAAGAGGACAGGGAGTTACGTGTATATAAAAGGCAGAGGCCCTTACGGAACCTTGTACTTCAAATCCTTTCCTTTTTAAAGCATATCAACCGGAGTAGCCTTACACCGTGCTTATCCCTTCTGCTTGCAACACGTACGTAAATACGTGCGGACGTATTAAATATGCTAGCAAACGAAACCGAAAATACAAGCACTTTACGGGCTATTAGCACTTTTGCCCATGCCAAACCGCCCGGGACAAAAGTTATCGATGGATTTTATCGGGAAATTTTTAACGTTAATGGATAAAACCGGCAAAAAGCGCAACGCAATATTAGTAATGGTTAACCGGTTTACTAAATATAGCTTTTTTATCCTAACGTTTACGAAATTAACCAATAAAAAATTAAAAAGCTTTTTATTTGCATACGTTTAAAAATTGCTAAAAACGCCCGAAAGGATTGTATCGAACCGGAACAAGCTATTTATAAGCGGGTTTTAAATAATTTTCGCCAAACATTTAAAAATTGCAAAAAGGTTATTGATAATATACCATTTTTAAACCGACGGGCAAACGGAACGAACAAACCAAGCAATAAAGCATTATTTCCGGTGCTTTTATTGCGAAAAGCAAAACGATTGGGCGTTATTATTGCATTTAGCAACGTGGGTGCATAATACGAGCGTACATTTGGGGTTGCAAAAAACCCTAGCGTTTTTATTAATAAGGTTTTACTTACGAAAGCTTTATAACTTTCGGGTGGTTAAAAAAAAACTTTCGGCAACGGTTAAAATTAAAGCGGGGGCCTTAAAAACAATTAAAAAACAAGCTAAAAAACTGCTAAAAAAAAGCAAATAATATGTACAAAAAGTATTATAATAAAGGCAGGACCCCGGTGCTTTTTGGGGTAAGCGATTGGGTATTGTTAAATACGGTAAATATTAAAATGAAAAGGCCGTTAAAAAAGCTGTCGGACAAATGGTTAAAACCCTTTTAAATCTTAAAAATGGTTGGGTTAGCCGGTTTAACGTTCCGGTTAAAGCTTTCGGTAAATTACCGGATACATAACGTATTTCCGGCAAATTTATTGCGGGCGTTTAAAAAAAAGCCCGGCAAAAAACTAAAAAATAAAAAATTAAAAATCGAAAAAAAAAAAGGATCGTTTCGAAGTAAAAATTTTGTTAAAATATAAAAAGCTTTTGCGAAAACGAAAATATTTGGTTAAATGGATAAATTACAACGAATCGAAAAATTTATAAATTTTAAACAAAAATATTACGAAAAAAATTATTTAAACGTATAAAGCAAATTTATTGGAAACGAATTTATAGGATAAGGAAAATACCGAACTTTAACGGGTAAATACCCGAAAAGGACGGGGGTATTATAAAAAAAAAGTAATAAAAGCTAAAGGAATGGCTTAAAAAAATGTTTTAACGTGCCGAACCGGCTAACCACCGAAAAAAAACGTAAAAAAACCCGTAAGCGGTTTGTAATAGCCGTAAAATATCGTACTTTATAAATAAAAAGTTAAATAAGGACGGTATAGTACGGGGAACGCTTTAAATTAATAGTGCGATATATTTAAATTCCAAAGGACATGCAAAATGTAACATATTTCGAAAAGCCCGTAAAGGGCATGCTTGGCGCAATACGCCAAAGTAATTACCGCATTTTAAACGTACGTTGTAATAAAAAACATTATTGCTTACCCAAAAAAAAATAAAAAAACTTTCGAATAGTACGGCAAACGGGCTTAAGCGTTCGGGTAACGGTAAATGCATATTAGCGGTATTTAAACCCATTGGGGGGCGAAAAAAAAGCATTTTAAAATTATTTATTAAAGCATTAAAATTTAATTAATAATTAAAAACATTGGGATTTTGCAATATTGCAAAAGCAGTATAACAAAAAGAAATTATAATTTTAATTATAATAAATTAACGAAAAAAACTTAAAATTAATTACTTTTCGAAAAGGGAATACCAATAATTAATTAGGAAAATATGTAAAAAAAATCGATTAAATGCCGTATTTAAAGGAACCAAAACTTTCGAAAACCACGTCCTTTTTGTTAGCGTTACAATCGTTGCCGCTAAAGTTATTAGCGCCGAAAGCGGCATTTCCCGGCGCCAATACGAATACCGTACCCTTACGGGAAACCGCGCGGCTATAAGCCTAAATATCCAAATGCGCCGCAATCGTAACAAAGCTAACGGCAATGTTATTAAAAAAAGCAATTATACTTTTTTCGAAACGCTTAAAAAACGTTTTTATTTCGTTAAAAAAATTACCGATATTAATTAAAGCTTAAACTTGCTTTTTTATTTAAACGGCGATAGCGTAAAATTGTTAAAAAATGTTTTGGGTAATTTTTAATATCGTAACGCTAGCAGTTTTGCGTTAAATGCGCTTTTGGATAACGGCTTAACGTTTGTAACGCGCAAATTGTTTAGCCGATATAGTATAAAAGGATTTAGCTTTTTGGATAGCTTTACGGGCGCAAAATTGGGCTTTAGTAAACTTTTCGAAAAGCTTCGGTATTGCTTTAAGCAATCGCTTGTAAACGGTATTTAAAATTTTGTAAAAGTTTTGGGCCATTTTTTAAAACCATTTAAAAAGTTTAACGCAAATTTTATTGCTAATTACGTTTTTGTAATAAATATATTTAAAAAATTCCGTACAATTATTAAAGCATATCGGCATATAAAGGTTAACGGTATAATTTTAATATGCTTAACGACCAAAATAACGGCTATAAAATACCGTACGTTCCGTATAATTATCTTTAAAAAAGGGCAAATAAATAAAATTCCAATTATCGCTTTATTAAAAATCGATAACTTCCCGCAATAAAAACGCGTTACAAATATTTATATAAAGCAAAAAAAAGGCAATGTTCGTTTTAGGGGCAGGTTTATTGGAATTAAAAGCGTTGCGGCGGCATTCGTCGCGCGCTTTACGCTTTTTTTCGGCGAAAGTTTTTTTGTTGCAACGGTTAAAACCCGCCGGGGGGTTACCGGCAAAACGTTTGCGGGAATTTTAAAAGGTTGTAAGCGCAAAAGGGCTTAATAAACCCGCAACATTTAAAAAGCCCACCAAAAGGTTACCGGCAAAGCGATCGTTAAAAATTTAAAGGATTAGAAATTCCGGCAAAACCGAATCCAAATCCAATTAAATTACGATAATTAAAAAAATACCGGGGGGTTATTAAAAACGGCCAACGGGCCGGTTGGAACCGAAAAACCCGAAACGGATATTTAAAAAAACATTATTTTCCTTACGTAATTGGGTACAAAAAATAACATTTGCAATTACCGGTTAAATCCAAATGTTTAAAAAAAACGGCTAAATACTAATTATTTACGGTTACGATCGTTAAAATTATTAAAATGGTTATTAAATGCATAAAAAAAAAAAAAAAGGTTTGTAATTTCGAACGGGAAAAAAAGCTTTTTATATGCCGGTACGAACTTACTTTTCCGGATATTACAAAATTTTATAACCGGTTTTTTTAAGCGTTACCGGGCATTGGGGCGGTTTAACGGGATACCGTAAACTACCGGTTACTTACGGGGTCGCACGCGCGGTATAAACGGCTTAAAATAAGCCGTATCGGAAAAGGGCAATATGTTAAAAGCACGGGCAAAACCGCCCGGTAAAAAGCGGAAAGCGTTAAATGTACGGGCGAAACCGCTTAGCAAAAAAAAAAAAAAACGCTAATAACTAATCGGGCACGAACCCCCCGAAAATATGCCGGCAAATTACCGGTATTGCGGCCAAAAGCATAATGGCGAAATTAAAAAATAAAGTAAAGCTTAAATTGCACGAAAGCGCTTAAAGCGCGGAAAAATTTAAAAAACCGACCCCCGGGTGCCCGAAAGGGCACGAAAAAAGGGGAGGTT